CCCCACAGCCCCTCTGGGGATCCCACAGAGTAAATCCTACAAATTGCAATGTCCCCTGTCCCCTCCAGCATGCACAGCCCCCCTCTCCTTCCCAGACCAGCTCTGTGCTACACAAGTGGGGAAGAACAAAAAAAAAAGTGGAAAAGAACGAAAAAAAAAAATTAAATTAAAATAAGTATTTTCTACCCTCTAAGCCAAATAAAAAGGGGAATGACTTTTTAATTGAAAAAAAATAAATAAATAAAGGTTAAGAGAAACACACAGCTGGAGAAAAGGCAAAAAAATACCAATTACCTTTCTTTTTGATTGCTTGGATCAAAGATCACAGTCATTCTTTTTCATATAATGTTTTGTATCCAGCTAAGGTGTGTATCTATCAGCTCTGAAAAAGATTTGCAAAACCATTTTTGAGAAAAAAGGTAACCTTTGACCTATGTTGCATGGCCAAGTGTTACAGTTTTCAGCTGCCCTCTCATTTTTGTGGGTTAATTTATTAAAAGGACATTTCAGCACACACAATACATAAGGCAGAACTCAACCACGGACCTTTCTGTTTGCTCAGATCCAGCACCAGATTTTTTTCCCCTCTTTTCTCAACTGATACTATCCAAAAATTAATATTCAAATTTTACATTCCTAAATTAATGATAAAACATGTGAAATGCTGATAATTTGATCTGAGATCAGAGGCACAGGAGGTCCCTGCAAATTGTGAGTCAAGTCAAAGACTTTCAGTGCCTTCTGCAAAATTCCCCTCTGTCATCACCTCAGTGCCCAGTAATATCCAAAATCAGTCCCTTTTCACTGAGAGATGCAACCACAGTGCCCGTGAAAATCAGACTTTGCCTTACTAGTACAGAACAGGAAAGATCTGGGCAAAGAAATTATGAATGCTACAGTCTTTGCTTCAAAATAACGTGAATTTTTTTTTCCTCAAGAAAAGGCAAAATTTAAAACATTCTGCCTTTTTTTTTTTTAAATTTCCTAATATTTTAAGATTGCTTTTGAATCCACCCTGAAAGCATTTGGTGCTTCTGCAAAGCCATGTGGAAATGAAAAAAAAACCCATATATAATTGCAATATTAAGGAGCAAAAAGTGCTTGTTAAAAAGCTGAGCTTTGAGTGCAAGATTCAGAAAWGTCTTTGCTGCTGGGTTGCAGTGACTATATATAGCAAAGAAGTATTTTACTTGGCTCCCAAGGATTGTGCAGCCACGTATCATGCCCTGGCACCTCCCACTCAGTACACAGCCTATTTTATATTCTGCACGCTGGAAAATCAGCTTTGGCACAGGGGAGCACAGCAACTCATTGACTGGGAAATACCAGTTTGGGTGTATCAGGCAAAGGAGCCCAAACCCAACAAAATGGGCTGGAATCGACAGCAATTAAAGGCTTTTAAAGGAAAATGGGGATATGGAACTGCTGTGAATGTGTTCAGCTAAAAAGTTTTAATTCCACATCAAACCTAGGGGTTCCTCCTTCCCAAAATCACGCCAAGAGATGCACCCTGCAACTGCTCTCCTTGTCCTGCCTGTAACCCTGGAGTCTGGGTGAACTGGGAACCTCCCAGCACCCTCCAGCCCAGCAGCAATCAGATCATCTCCACTCATTAAGAAAAMTCTTGGAAGAAGTTGCTGAGCCCAAAGAGGGAATTCAAGTCCCAAGATACATTTTTGCTGTAATAATATCAATAGACTCAAACCCCATTGGAATCTCTCCAGGAATTTAGCAACATAATACAGACATCTGATGGAAAACAGAATTGAA